TCTTGATCAAAAGAGCCAGGGGCTGACCTATCCCTCCAGCAGCTCCAAGAACAGCTACTTTATAAGAGGCCTGGGGTTGAAACGGAGTCTGAACCACCTGGGCTCCCTTATGGGCTTTTAGAGCAAAAGAAGCTCGAAGAGCTGCGGTGGTTTCTTTGCCCAAGAAAGAGGTCTCAGATTCGCAAGCGAGAGATGTAGTTGCCTTGAGGCCATTGAAAGAACTCTTAAGAGGGTTTTGGGAGTTGAACCTCAAAGCACAAGGCTTTGACTGTGGAAATGAGACTGCTTTGTGGCCAAGGGAACAGGTGGTTCCAATGGAAAAGGTAGCCGCTGCTGATGTTGCCGCCATCTCACAAACTCTGCGCCACAAAAATTTAAAATTGCATTAAAAAACACAACCAAAGCAAAGATTTTTACATCTTAATCAACGTACAAGTTCCAACCCAATTCACCAAATAAAAAAATCTCAATTATTGGTTATTTACACTAAAAGAAAGTCCAGAAAATCAAATAACATGAAACTTTATGTACAAGATTCCAATGAAAATTGAACTTTCAGAAACAATAAATGAATACACAGCTAGGAATTGAAAATTCTAAAGAAGCAACCAGATCTGATAACACAACCAAAAGATCCATGAATGCTTGAATTGAAATAAAAGCAATTGGAAATCAAAGATAATGAAAGAGAGGGTGAGGAGACTGACCTTGAAGATGCTGAAGGCCACCAACCAGAGAGCTCTATGAGACGCGAATTTGGAAAGGCAAAGTATTTAGAAGAGAGAATATAAAGGAGTGAGAGAGAGAGAGAGGAGTTTTGACCCGTCTTGGGTTTTGCTTGTGAAGTTCGTTAAAAACTCCGCCAATGGGCCTCGGACGAATCCACACCTTTTTTAAAACAGCTACCTCATCAGTCGATGCATGCGGAGTGGACCCAAATATCACCGAATCTCCCATTTTTGTTCGCTTCCTCCCGCCGCTAACTCTAGTTATTTTCAACGGCCGCGATTAATCCAAAATATTAAAAAAAAAAAAAAAAGTAGTGACATTTTTTTAGACTAAACTAAACTATGTTTTTGGTCCTTATAATTCATCATTAAATTCCACTTTCACCCTTATATTTTTAATGGTCACGATTTTAGTCCCTATAATTTACCAACCGTTCCAATTTAAGTGAAATTTGCCTCCATTTGGTTGAAAAAAATTATTTGGATTTGATAATTAGACTAAATTTGCTACAAAGACAAGAAAGAACTATACTAAATTGAATGTATTTGAAATAACTAAATATATATTGCATTTGAAATGACCGTGTGCAATGAATCATCGAAACGGAAGTAGAATTTGTATCATCTAAATTCATAGAATTTGAATCCTTCCATCCAAACAAGGCAACAAACGTGTAGCATGGTATGACATAATATGAGGTAACTTTCTTTATCATCTGAGAATGTTTCTTTATTATTCTACAAGCATTTTGATTTTTTCTTTATCCCCCAATTCAATCCAATTCAACCATTCTCTATTTAACACTAACTTATTCACAATTTCACATACCATAAAACCATTAACACTATATTATATCATAACTACAAACTCTCTTGGTAATCAAATGGGGAATTCCCACTCAGTCTGTTGGTTCCAAGGAAACTGTTACCTCATTACAGAAGTAGGGGGAAAAAAACAAAAGAAAATTACACAGCTGAGAAGGCTTCCTCCTTTCATACATTAAGTTTTTCCATCTCCCTCTTAAGTGCATTAGCCCTTACCAAGCTCCCAATGGTATTCACAGCCAACTTCAAATCCTCCCAAGGATTCCCAGGCACTACCCTCTTGTACAAATAGCTGTCAAAGGTCATCTTCTGCACATACTCATCTGCACACATCTCCACAAAAGCCTCCCTTGCCGGGTTCGACCTATAAAACACCTTCTGCAACACATCCAACACCTTATAAGTAGGCCAGTAAGTCTTGTCCCACTTCTCCAAGTACTTCCTTAAATCCGCCTCATTTACCATCCTCTTTCCATTCTCCGACCCCTCAACTATTGCCTCCGCACACATCCTACCACTCTTTGCAGCAAAGTAGATGCCTTCACCTGAACATTTTGTCACATACCCCGCTGCATCACCAACAAGTGCTACTCTGCCTGCTAACCTTCGGGGGCGGGGGTGTTCGGGAATTGGATGCGCTTCCACTCGCAGGATTTTGCCGCCAAGGATCTTGTCCTTGGCTCTGTTTCTTGTTGCAAGTTGGAATTTCTTGATGTCTCCTTTGTGAGTCACAGTGCCGGTACCAACTGCTACATGGTCACATTTGGGGAACACCCACCCGTAAAAGTCCGGTGAGACATCATCACCAACATACATCTCAGCAAGATTCTCATAGTACACCATTTTATCATCAGGGATTTTGATTCTCTCCTGCAAAAGGCAGAAACCAAGAATTTAATTAGAATGGATCAACACTGAACTAAGTGTAAACATTTAATCATATTTCAGCAATGCACCCGGGGTTTAGCCTTTTACCAAAATTTTGACCAAGTATAGAAGATACAACTAAAACTTTAAACTAGCTAATCATTCAGTAACATTTTCTCTAAAAGGGTTTTTCTTCTTCTGTATGCTAAGCTAATTACGTTTTTCAGGACAAATTAGAAATGCATACCAAAAACCACGTCTCAATTTTGAGTTACTCACATAGATACAGTCATTTCAGCCAAATAAATACCAAGAAAAGAAAATACTTTTATGCAAGCAGCCAGAATGTTAGAAAACAACTTCAAATCAAAGAATGTGCCTAGTACGTTAACACAAAGCACAACAATTGAGTGCAAATTTAATTAGAAGTTGCTTTCTTCCTCTAAGTTTTATAATCAAATTGCAATTTCCTGCATACAACTCCCACATGCAAAGCTCACAGAGCAAGCATTAACTGAAAATTTGAAACAAAGCAAGTTCATAATTACCTGAAAGGCAATGGCATACTCATAATCACCAGCGTCAATACTCTTAGCCACTCTAGAATTAGCCCCATCAGCTCCAATCACAGCATCAACCTCCAAACTCTTCTTCACACCAGCCCCACCGACCTTCCCATCATACTCTGTGTAATGCAGAACGTACGGCGCCTCCCCATCTCCCGGTTTCTCCATCTTCAGAAACAACCCATTTATCACAGTCGCCCCATTCTCACTCGCCCTGTTCCTCAAGTACTGGTCCAGCACCTCACGCCTCACCATCCCAATGTACTCGTGCGGCTTCAGAGTTTGACCAATGTCAACGGCCACATTGGACGGCGAAATCATCTTCATCTTGGTGACCCGGCGGTCGATGATGTCCAATGGGAGGTCAAATTCACCCACCATGCAGAGCGGGATTGCGCCCCCGCAGGGCTTACAGTTGTCCATTTTTCGCTCGATTAGGAACGTCTCTATGCCGCCTTTGGCGAGGGAGCCGCCGGCAGGGCCGCCTCCGACGACGGCGACCCGGAGGTTTCGACCCGTGACTTTTGGGTTGGTTTTGGCGGCATTGACCTGGAGCCTCCGGTGGTTTGAAGGGTTTAGAGAAATGGGTTTTGCTTGGATTGTGAAATGGGGCTTTTCTGCGGAGGCTTGGCGGAGTCCGATGAAGGACTTGAGAGCAATGGAGGCCATTTTTTCTGGGTTGGAGCTGAAGCAGAGGAGGGGCAGTGTGTGATAGTGGCCGAGAGAGTGAATTTTTATGTTTTTGGTGGATATGGTTTGGGATATGAGTGGGGAAAGTGGCCGTTGGATCAAGAGAATGAAGGGCCAGGATGTTTTGTGGATAATGAGTTGGATTTTTTGGATTTAACGATTTTTAGGGGGGGGTCGTGTACGTGTGGTCTGGCTGTGATTTTTGTTTGGCTTTAGAATTCGGAGAGGCTGATGTTACGCCACGTTGTGTACTTTTGTAATGAGTTTGTCTGGTTGTGGACCTTCTAGGATACAAGTCAGATATCTTTACATGCAATCAATGATGCTTTGCCACATCAGTACTTTTAAACCTCTTTTCTACGGTACTGATTTGTCGTAATAATGTTATACACTCCCAACAAAAAAAAAAAAAAAAAAAAGTTTCCTAGGCTCACAAAACTTGCGAATTGAACTTTTAATTGAATATGTTAATCAAGAAGTAGAAGCAAATGTACTGATTAATTTGTTAATTTTGAGATATGGACATAATGTTGGTTCGAAAATGAATGAGTTGTAATTAAGCGTGTTTGTATTTTATTTGTTAAAGAAAAAATAAAAAACTCATACGAGTTCAAATAAGTTTAAATTTGAATTGTTTGGTCACGAGACTAATGTTACATCCGTCATAATACGAAAAGGACAAATTTTGATCAATTTGGTTAAGCTTGTTAGTACTCTTTGTCTTAAGTCCAGGGCAAATTTAGGGAAAATATTTGGAAAAGTATTTTACTTGGCTAGCTTACTTCAGAGATTGTAGATGCACCTATATGGTTTGCCCAACATGTTGAAATAAAAGGCCAATTTGTGTCTTGATAAATTGAGGTGAAGTAATTTAGATGGGTAGGTGAACCCCCCAATATAATTTCCTTTTAACATTTTTTCACACCAGCAAAATCATAGCCCAAAGCCTCCTTCCAAGAATTCCACTTTTCTCCTTTCAATTGCACGTCACTGTTCGGCTTTCACCACCCACCTTGATGCTTTGTAAAATCATGAGAGAATTTTCAAATCCAAAGTACATTCTAACATATTAAAAATTATGGGACCTTTTGTGAGACTCATACCGTTGCAAATTAATATAACTTGTAAAACAAAGACGTACTCATGGTAGTTGCATTAGGTAAGAATGAGCATCGGTTGGTTTATCAAACAAGCTAGCTAAGCTACCCTCTCTGTTTTTCTCATCCCAAATCCAAATTCTAGTCTTTGTGCACGAAATCTTAATTCTACTACTTATAAGTCCTCGTACATTATGTTTAAATCCAAACCCAAATCTTCCATTTTACTTTGGAAGACCTAAAGAAGCACATTTTCATCTTACCAAGTACCAATCAACCATGAAGTTCATGGTGGCGTTAGCCATGATGGCTGTGACCATCTTTGGCCTCCTCATTGACGGTCACAACTGCAAAGTTGTGCAGTTTATATTCGGCGACTCCCTCTCCGACGTCGGAAACAACAAGTACCTAAGCAAGAGCCTTGCCCAAGCAAGCCTGCCATGGTATGGGATTGATTTTGGCAATGGACTGCCTAATGGGAGGTTCTCTAATGGCCGCACAGTTGCTGATATAATAGGTAACATATATATGTAAAAACCCAAAAAAGCATATAGTTTGTTCTGCATGAGTGTTTCTTTTGCAATCCAATTTTCTTTAATGTATATGCTTAATTTGTTTCCTTTTTTTGTTTTGTTGTCTGCTGAACATGTTTGTTTATTTAGGTGATAGCATGGGCCTCTCAAGGCCACCTGCCTTTCTGGATCCATCTTTAACTGAGGATATAATTCTAGAAAAAGGAGTAAACTATGCCTCCGGAGGTGGTGGAATCTTGAATGAAACTGGTGGCTACTTTGTAAGTTGCAGCAACCTTAATGTTAAAATACTAGCTTTAAGATTGATCGCATGCAATTTGATCATCAAAATGTCAATTGCAGATTCAGAGGTTCTCACTCTACAAGCAAATTGAGCTGTTTGAAGGCACACAAACACTGATTAAAAGCCAAATTGGAGCACAAGCAGCAGAGAAGTTCTTCCATGAAGCTCGTTATGTGGTCGCTTTAGGCAGCAACGACTTCATCAACAATTACTTGATGCCAGTTTATAAAGATTCGTGGAGTTACAACGATGAAACTTTCATCGACTACATAATGGAAACCCTACAAAGACAACTCGAGGTTGTGATCTTTAATTAACCACTGATTATTGATATGGTTATAATTATCAAAGTTTCTTAATTTGTACTAATTGTGATCATGTTTTTGAGTAGCTTTTGCACAGCTTAGGGGCAAGGCAGCTGATGGTGTTTGGGCTAGGACCAATGGGCTGTATCCCACTCCAAAGGGTTTTGAGTACATCTGGAGATTGCCAAGATAGAACAAACAAACTAGCTCTCAGCTTCAACAAAGCTGGAATCAAGCTATTGGAAGACTTGTCCAGCAAGCTTCCTAACGCAAGCTACAGATTCGGTGAGGCGTATGATGTGGTCAATGATGTGATCAGCAATCCAGACAAATATGGTATGTTAATGTGCTCTTCAGTATCAATTTTTAAATTAGCATGTCATAGAAATTAAGACAGAACATTGCCTTTACAGGCACAGAACATGTTCAGATCTACTTGTTTGTTTCTCTATTGACCTTTTTGTGTTTCTCATTTTTTCTTTCTGCATCTTGATGATGATTTCATTCAAATTCAACCAACCATGGTAGGCTTCAGTAACGCGGACAAACCATGCTGCTCATTTGGAAGAATCCGACCGGCTCTGACATGTATCCCTGCATCAGTATTGTGCAAAGACAGAAGCAAATATGTGTTTTGGGATGAGTACCATCCATCAGATAGTGCAAATGAGCTAATTGCTCGTGAGCTCATCAAGAAATTAGGTTTTTCGAGCGTTGATGGAACAAACGGTCCTTCCCCTGCACCCGCCATTGCTCCATCACCAGAGGAATAAATTGTGCACTGAAACCAGCAGGGTCTGCTACTTACAATTGCTTCCTAAAGCAACTTCTCAGTGATCATTAAATAGAATTTTCATATACATAATTGTGAACTCAAATAGTGTGTTTCTGATTGTTGGAGATTTTGCCCATAAAAGTTTTTACACTGTCTCTATTATACATATTTAGCATCAATGGCCATGAAGTTTTCCACTCACACATAATCGTCACCCATAATGATGATAACATAACTCTCCATGTCTCTCTCAAATAAACAAGAGGTCTCCAAATTGATATCTCCAAGTTAATAAGCTGCATATTGTGGCCAATATACATATATTACATATATATATATATATATATATATATATATATTTCAAGCATCTACTCTAGAGGCCTACTTCTTTTAAGCCCTATTAATAAACTCAAATGATGAATGATCTAAGAACAAAATTCTTATTTACAATAGTCCATATATAACATTACATTGTAAATGCTAAAACCAATAGTAGCAGGAGAAAACTTAGCAATCCACACATCTTCCAAATTGCGGCTTTGGAGTGTGGCGGTTGTTGGCTCCAGATCCCGGGTAGTCATGAAGCTCCACATCCATTCTTTCAGTAATAGTTTGCTCATAAAAATTATTCTCTGTGGTTACCTGTTCTAAGTCCCATCAATGTAAGTCTCATGCAAAGTTTCATTAAAATATAGAGAGTATATAAATTCTGGCAATCAGCTTTATGGTAGGTCATACCAGTTGGTTATTTCCTGCAATTTGATGAACCTGAAGACTTCCAATTCCTGCATATTTGGTACAAAAAGAAAATCAGAATAAGGACAATAATAATAAGAAGAAGAAGGATTAAGAAGTAGAAAGTTGTTAAAATCTTACTTGTAACTGGGACGGCATTCAAGCGGATAATAAGTTGAGAAAACCCCAAGAAGATCACAAGCAGATGAAGGAGAGTGCCTGCCAATGCCATCTTCTGTAGCAGTCTTCAAAAGGGCAAGTTCTATATGCAAAACTGAATGTTAATTCTGATAAAGCCAGCACAACCCAATTTATACAATTCTCCAACAAAGCTGTCCAGACCTTGTTTGTGTTTGTTGCGTTTTGGGAAAAAGCAATGATATGATATGATATAATATGATGGTGGTTAAAGTCAAAAAGGTGAAACAACAGAAGCGTTTTGCAAGACAAAGTGCGAACCATAAATGTGGAAGTGGAAGTGGAAATTAGCCCAAATGCAGTGAGGTCGAGGTGGGGATGTCATGAAAATGATATTTTAAGTGAAAATGGTGGCGAGAGAAAAGAAGGGGACACACTATAATGCAAGTGGAGGGTGACACAAGAATGATGTTGTGGCAAAACTTGAGCTCATGCACTAACTTGTAGGTTAGAAGGGTCAGTGGAAATCATCATCATTGGAGCTCAAGGACATATTCAATGAATTTCCGAGAAGAAACTGAAAAAGCATCTAGGCACTTAACATTCATTTTTTGTGATTCAATTTGAGTGGCATAGCAACTATAGAGTTGGAAAAACAAACAGCAGCCACCAAATGTGGCAGCAGTTTTCTGCACTGCAAGTATGACTTGGTTGAATAAAGTTTGCAGAAGATAAGTATCCTGGCCTATAATTATATTTTGTGTCTGTTTTTTTTTTAATTGGCAGAAAGAAGACATGATGATATGGCTGGATGATAATTAAGGTTGGAAACAAAATCAGTTTTAGCAGTCATCTTTGTTTGACTTCAGCAGACATATTGGTATCAACCTGTCCTGCTTTTCGTTTAACTGTTTTGACTTTATAAACCACCAATTAAGTTGCATTTGCTCTTCCATTGTTTGGTGAGTCACTGCACTTTATATGGTTACAGACAAACAGAGTGATATGGCTGTAAAAACCAAGTGTTGACAATTAAGCAAAGTAGCTGATGTAACAGCCAATTCCAAAAGGTGATTATATTAATTAACTAGTTTCAATTGTGAACCCTAAAAGCCTAAATATCCGAAATGAGACGAGAAAGTAAAAAAGATAAAGCAAGAAAGGCAAGGTCCATACTTTACTCTCTGCAACTTTGCATGCTGCATTATGACTTTTTAAGTCAACCCTTTCAGATGGGATCCTTGTATTCATGCTCTGATTGTATGAACGCAACCAATTTAGTCCAACTTTTCATTGCATATGAGCAACTTGCTCATCCATCCCTCCATATATGAGACCACAATACATATATAATATATGCGTCTATATGCACTTGTTTAATTCTCGGCTACCAATCATCTAGAAAAACTCATGTGATGAGAGAGATAAAGAGGAAGGTTACATGAATCCGTGATAGGCGAATGAGTTTCTCGGGCCAGGAGTCTTTTTTTCTCTATTGGGTCTGAATCAAGATTCAGTTAACACAAAAATTAGGGCAGTAATGGGCCAGCCTCACAGGAATTTCGTCATGTGCTTTATAACTTGGGTTTTTGAAACGCTATGCAAAGCTCTCAATGGGCTTGGTGTTGCTTGAGCTTCGGTCAAAGCCCATACTACAATCACTTTCAACTTTTAACTTTCAAACTTCAATGGCATTGACAAGTGGCCTCCATGAATTTTAAAGACGATTACAAGCACTTGCAGCCTAATCATTTGCTGGTATTTCAAAGCAAGCTTACTTTAAGTATAATTAGGAAATTTCTTCTCAAATTTCCATCCTAATCTCTTCCTAATCTAATTTGTGTTTATTAATCCTGTCCAAATCAAATTGTGGCATGAGCTCCTAATTGAAAAACATGTTAATTAGCAAAATCCTTAACCGTCCACGGGGCTGCCCCACAGTTAACAAAGCAACTTTAACTTCCAAATTACTTGTTTAATCAATCTTTTAAGGGAGTTTCACTAAAACACCCAAAATAGAGGTTGAAATTATAAAAAAACCCAACACCCAAAACACTTTATAAACACACCCAAAATCCATCATTACACACACTCAAAACCCATTTATAAACACACCCAAAAAGTTGACTTTGTGGTTGATTTTGGGTGTGTTTCTATGTTTAAATAGTGCTTGAGTTTTTTTATAAATACATGTCTAGAATTGGGTTTATTTATAAATTTGTAATCTTTTAATCCATATATCAGGTATTTGATTAACCTAATCAAAACCATTTGACCATTACACCGAAAGATGGAAAGGATATGCTCATCAACTTTTTATTTATTTATTTAGTTTTTTGGTCGAAACACACTTTCAATTAACGAAAGCCACCAACCAACTTTTTATTTTATCCCTATGTGTATAAGTATGGTCTACGCGTGAAGTATACAAATTGTGGATGCTCTACGCGTGTCCTCCACTATGACACGTGTTCCTTATCTACGGGAGCTTATGTACAAACTTTGCAGGCTTTTAACTTTGATTCTTTTCTATATAAAAAAAAACAACTTTGAGCTTGTTGTGGGTGGGACCCTATTGCTAAGTGTCTGCAGCTGATGTGGCAACAAGTGTTTTTCTAATCTGAAATCTGAAATTAAGATTGTTTTCTATGACTCGATCCGAAATAGGCACGATTAGAAAACAAATTGAGTTAGTTGTAGAGTCTCATACACGGCAAATTAAAGAGAGAAAATTATAGCAAAGGCTTTGTAGCTCGAGTAATTAATAGTATACATTTGATATGATAAGTTTGATTTCTTTTTTTCCAATATCGCTTTTATAAAAGAATAAATATTAAACTATATTGAGAACATAACTATAGTAGAATACGTAGCAAGTGATACATGATAAATAGAGTTATGCGAAGACATGTAGGTAATTAGTTTCAAATTATTTAGACATGTAGGTAATTAAATGAATGATTGTTCAAGGATATTATATTGTGCAAGTTATGAATGAACAATATACAGGCTTTGTAGTGTCTCATAGAAATGTACATATGTGAATGGTTCTTGTACATCAAAAATTAGAATTTAACATCAAAAGCGAAATCCCAAATATATTCTTAGCAACACAAGTTTGTCCAATAGCTATGTAACATGTTAATAGGCGCAGATAAACTTTTGGTCCCCAAAAGTATAGGGTTTAAATTAAAATAAATATAGTGGGTTGGTTCGATTTAACAATTTTCCTATGAGAAGTATGTAAGAGTTCAAACGAATACAATTCAATTTGATCCAATATTATACACTTTTTATTGTAAAAATTGATTAAATTATTTAAATGAGTTAAGAGTAATTGTCCATACACTCGAAGTTCAATATATATATATATATGAATTTCATTAACTGGACTCGAAGTCCGATATTTAAATTATCCTCTATGAATATAACTATAATAAAAATATATTTAAATTGGGTTTTTTTATTATTGATATAATTAATAATTTATTTTAAACTAATCTAAATTATAAAAGAATGAATTCAAACTCGAATGAAAAGAAGACATTGGTTAAGGCTTAAAGGTGCCATCCATAGTTGGAGCCCATCTAGGACCACCTCGTGGTTCAGACCAAAAAAAAAAAAAGAAGACATTGGTCTTAACTAATTTGGCTTTAGTCCGTTTAAATCATTCGAGCGATTTTTGGGTCACCAAGTCAAGTTATAATAAAAAAAAAGATAGAAGATATATATGTTTAGGTAGCACCGAATTTCCATGCATCGGAAAGAGAGAATCCAGATGAAATTTGACAAAGGAAAATCTGGAGGCCACAAGAACTTGTGGCTGAGAATCATACCCACGTTCTGACGTGGCACCCACCTTTAGTTTAGACGGATTAAAATCGTAGACGACGTTTTACTACGCCCAATGCCAACCGAGACACCACCACTCGAGACACCCCAGAAAACCTCTCAACAAAAATACTCGCGCGTTTTTTCAACACTGTTTGGCTGCCGAGAAAATGCTGGAAACTAAGGACCCTGCGATCAAGCTCTTCGGGAAGAAGATTCCCCTGCCCGCCGACATCGAGGACCTGGGCTTCACTCAGCCTGAAGAGAAAGAAGTAGATGTAGAATCAGAAGAAGAGGACGAAGAAGATGAAGAAGAAGAAGAGGCCGAGACAGAGCAGGTACAGTTTTTACACTGAGAGAGAAGGTGTTGTGGAACTTGTTTATTTGGACCCTTTTGTTAAAATGCTGAGACAAGCTTTTTTTTTTTAATTTCACTTTACATTTGGTGGTTATGAGCTATGACAATTTTTTTGGTTTTTTCCCCTTTTTTATTTGGAGGGAGTCTGATTTGGGGGTTTGAGATGTTTGTTTGATTTTTGGTTCTATTTTGTTTGATTTTCTGATCCTATTTAAAACGGGGATGGTTAACTTTTATGTCTAGAAGATGAAACTAACCAGGAAAAGAAAGTGGAAATTTTGAACCTTTATTGGTCATTTGAGAATTGGAAAAGCAATTTTTTTGGCCTTAGGCTTGTTTCCTTAAATTTTGTTACCAATGAAACGATTGTCAGTCAATGAATTTCAGACCAGCTTTTGGAAAGTATAAAATTTGATCACTTATGTTACTTTTCTTTTTTGGTTACCTAAATTCAACTTACATATGCCAGTAGCTAATTAATTTTTTAAAAAGTTTGTGTGTAGATTTAAAACTGTGAAACTGTTCATGCTGCTTGATATCTTTCAGAGTCAATAGTCTTCATCTGTGTCGTTTAATTTATTTTTCTCTCAATATGAAAGGGTGTTTCCTGTTGATTTTCTAAATCTGTTATTTTCATTAAATTTCTTGTCTTTGTGGTAATAACTTTCTTCATATCTGGGGCTTCATGTAACAGAGTGATTGAATTCTCTAATTATATAGAAGTTTCAATAGCTTTGATTGTGTCAATGAAACTATAGTTTGATTGTTCCAAACTTATAATTTTAACAAAAAAAGAGCAAAGATTATTGCTTTTCATTGAAAGATGAAGAAAACTCCTCGTAAACATATAAATTTACAATATTTCCTGTTGCTTGATTTTGATTGTAGCTGTCATCACACTGATTACTTATACAATGATTCAAGTTTATTTTGCAATACTTGTTCCTAAAGCTAATTGTGAAAATTTCAGGATCCACCATCAAGAAAATCCCCTGAGAGCAGGGATCAAG